AAAAAAAAAAAAAACAAAAGTCCCCGAAAAAAAGCTCGCGGGGGTCGTGAAGCAACTTTTCTGGGATTCGAGAAAAGCCGGAAGGGGTCTCGGGAGGCGTGCCATCGCTCATCATCCGTAGAGTTTCCGCGCGATCTACATGTTTATATGTATATATGCACGTGGCGAGGAATCGGTTACAGGGTTGTAAACCACGTATACACTGCAGCCGAGTCCCCGAGAAACAATTTGGCGACAATTTTTCAAAGTGTCAAAATAGCGTATGCGCGCGAGCCGAAGATAATACACCCCGGGGGGACTTTTTTTTTCCCCCCGGCGCAGTGTGGTTTTGGACAGCCGCGCCTACTTTTTCCTTCCTCGTACGTAAGAAAAGTCACGGACGATTTTTTTTTTTTTTTTTTTTTTTGACGAGTCGTGAAAGGTTCCCTCGGCCACTGCGACGAGTGTTCCCGGAAGATTTGTTTCTTTCGTAATCGCGTCGAAGAATCCCCTTTCATCGGCTAAAGACGCATTGTGATCGAACAAACAGGGGGGGGAGGAGAAAAAAAATTTTGACTCTTCTGCAAACGAGAATTACACCTCATTATTCCGGGAAGGGCGGGTAAATTTTTTCCTCCCCCCTTAGCTTCCCCCGAAAAAAGGATGAGTCCCATTCCCGCGATTGAGTCATCCGCTCGAGGGTATGATGTTTCGTGCCGAGTCAGGCCCCCCTCGGTGCTGTCACTTCTGCAGCCTGTTTCCAAACAAAGCCATTCTCACTTGCCATTTTTTAACAAAGTTGCTCTGCAAAAAAGGAAAGAAAAAAAAAAAAAAATCACCTTTTCATCGATATTATCCTTATTAATGACCGTGTCCACAAATATATCTGTACCATCGGAGTGTACATGTATAAGTAAGTCGAAGAATCTCGATAGACTGCAACATTATACGAGTGAAAGAGAAGGAATGGTGTATGGTATGTCATCTCCGGTGATGCATCATATAATTTTCAGGTCGGCGCGCGTGCACTCGCTCGGAGAGGAGGGGAAAGCAATAAAAAAAAAAAAAAGGAAGAAAAAAAAATGTAAACTGCGAGCACCGGGCAAATCACTCGTTTATTTACGGAAAAAACGATTGCGGCCCGAAACGGGAGGGAGGGAGCAATCGCTCGCGCGATTCCACGCTGAAAATCGGATTATCGCCGCCTCCGGAGCCCCAGAAAAGTGTATACGCAACAAAACCCGGGTAGGGGGGGGGGACGCGCGGCGAAGAGGAGGGAGAGGCGTCGCGAAAATGAATAGCGGCAGTTTTGCAGCGCATTTGCTAAAATAAACGATGGTATCGGCGCTGCGTTTGTCACGCGAACGGGGGGTGTGTGTGTCGTTGTTTACTTTTTTTTTTTTTTTCCTTTCGGTGCGCAAATGCGCGTCGGGGCACATCGATTATTGCGACGTCGATATGTTTCTCTTAGCGGTGATCAATCTGTGCGTTATACACACGCGTTTCCCTTCGAAAGAACTCTCCGCTGCTGGCTAGGCGATTTCTTTTTTTTTTTTTTTCCGTCCACCCACCGAATTGATGAATCGCTGTTTTGCGCCGCGCGCTTTTATTGCCGGGGCCCCGTTGTGACGCTATAATCGAGTAACTTGGCGATGAAGTCGCTGCAATTCCGAAATACCGCACCAACGACTGACAAATTCAGTCAAATTTCGCTCGCTCGTTGATAATGATTTGTGTACAATTTTTTTTTTTTTTTATAAATATGATGAAAAAATGAGTTGATCCCACGTTTAGTTATCAACGAAAACACCATTCGAAAGTCCTACCTGTAATTAAAAACGATTGTCCAAGAAACAGAGCGGCGCATATTTCGATAATTTACGTTGTTCCTTCTCTCGTGAAAACGCACGTATTCGGCAGACAATACGATCGGAATGACCCTTGGTCCGAACGCTCGGATCGATCGAGCGATGTGAACCGCAGAGTTTTAAAAAATCCACCCATCGACACTTGGTATGTATCGTAAAAAAAAAAAAAATAAGAGAAAATTCTTTCGTATCGCAATGTTTTTTTACAGTGCCCTTATACGGACGATTAAAAACGCACAAGCTGTGCCGAAAACACGTAGCTCTAGCAATAAAAAAAAAAAAAGAGAAAAGATGAAAATCTAATAAAAAAGCAAGCCACAATTTATAGGCACTCGCGCGAATACAGAGAGAGGGGGGAGGAGGAAAATCCACCCCCAACGAAAGATAAATACCTTCGGACAGCGTAGTGAGTGGTTCGTGAACAGATAGAGTCGTTGGAGGGGAGAGAGGATCCGACGGCTACGGAAAAGTCGCGTAGGTGTATATATACATGGATAGGCCGGTAGAGTACACGTATATCTTGTACGCACGCAAGAGCCAGAGAGAGGAGGGACTTGATATACTGGCCCTGTCGATAATTATCTCTGGCTGATTAACCGGTCGGTGCTTCGCGCCCCATAACTCCTCGGACGTCCGATTATTTTGCTCGCCACCCCGTACCACCCTGCATACACATATACACGTGGGTATGTATACATATACTATCCACCCACGTATATATATATGTCATGTAACATATATATATACGGTATGTACCTATAGTACCGATTTCGGTGCTCGGTCGTATATAGCTCTTTCGCGCGTATGCATGGCAGGCCTCGGGCCCCCCGACAACAACGGTGTTGTAATACCCACCTATCTGCCGTCGGTAGAGATTCCGCTCGGCTATACACGGCTGATCGGACCCGCGCGTTTGATTAATTACCCCGATTAGATCATTAATTCCGCGTAGTCGAGCATACCAACTATACATCCGAATAAACGGGGCCCCATTTGGACTAAATTTATATATTTTTTGTTTCTTCCTCTTTTTTTTTTTTTTTTTTTTTTTTTATTTGTTTTAAATCTTCCTGTATGTACATACATATACGCACGTTGCTTCGGTGGCGATCATAATCCATCGCAACAGATAATACCCAGCACGGACGACAATAGCGGGCAATAACAGCGCAGCTCGGGCGGAACAATGCGTCGAGGCGCTATACACCCACGGTGTCGCCCGGCTTGTTTTCGCGCGCGAGGCAATTTGGCTGGGGAGATCGGAATAATAATTGTAACGGCCACGCGCACACGAGGGCAACTCGCTCGCTTTTAATGTAATATCGCTTAGCTCGTGCTCTTGACTCGCCCATTAGGTGAAGTTTGTTTTCCGGTGGATCGCTCCACGCCGATGTCCATCCGATTCGCCCCGATGTATGGACTTGTTATCGTGGGGGTAAGGGCACCCAAATTAGATGAAGCAAGCATATATAGTTTCATAGTGTTAAGGTAAAAACATATATATACCTACTGCATCAGATGTAGCTAATTTCATGAATTTTCAGTCATTCCAAAAGACCGACGAATTAGATCATTTCGCCCTGCACTTCGGGCTCACATTTGACACGCGAATTAGCAAAGTTGGGATACGCGGAGGGCACGGAAGGAGGAGGAGGGAGGACCGGGGCTGAATGATCCTATACGGTATAGCGGGTGTCTGACGCGTGTTTGCGCGAGAGCACCGGAGCGTCGCTCGTGTGTTTGCTCGTGCAGCTCTACTCTTGCACACACGCGCGCGACGGAGGTGATAATTATACGTGGCCGCGATCCCTACGTTTATCGCGTAATTTGCCACGCGTGTGCTCTTCCACTCGGCCGTTTGCGAGACTACCGTACCAGAGGCCTGCACGCGCTTTCGATAACGATTAAAGCTGCTTTTGATACCGGAGGTTTTTATGCTCTTGGAATCATACTTGACTCTTTTCATTCAATGTATTGCGAGCTGTTAACGAAAATGTATTTTACATTACTCGTGTCGGCTTAACAGTTACCAAGTCCGTTGCAACAACGAGTATACATACAATCAGCGCATGGATAGGACTATACGGCGACGACGACAGTGCAATCGGCCACGGAGAATCGCAATAAATCTGCTCCTACGCGCGCGCCTGATAGTATAGCAAATGCAGGGTTGTGTGCAGTGTATTTATGCGCGCAAGGCTGCTATGATTCATACACACAGTGTGCCAATGCCATACACGCGGAGAGATAATGAGCAATTTGCACCCGAACATATAATCCCGGCCTCCGCGCTTTATTTAGGTGCCCCTGCTGTGCTCCGACCGGTCAGTTATTATTGGCCGATTCGCAGATTTATCGCTGACTCGGGTTTGCGCGTTTCTTTGTTTTCCGTTTCTGCCGTGTGCTCCGAGATTTCTATTTATTTCTCAATTTCGTAGCCATCGGCGTGTCGAACCGATTTCTGATGATCGGTTTGATCGCTCGTTTTCACCGTGGCAGCAAACGCTCGACTTTTAAAAGAGGTGTGGGGGAAAAAAGCGTCCCATTAGGGGCGTAAACTTTTTTTCACGGGGTCTTAAAAGCCCGACCTCTCTCTTTCTGCCCCCCTGCAGTTTGCCCGGAAAGTTTTGAAACGCAACCCGCGGAGTGACTCTCCTCCTTTCGACTCGGCGTTAAAGTGAATTGTTTGCTCCACCGGGGCGAAAGCGAGTTACTCGCGCGAATTCGTTGGCACAAAATATTTTTTACTTTTTTTATGGAGGTAAAAATTATGGTGCAGCTTCTCGCGACCTCGAGACCTACTCCGGATACGGCATTAACTCGATTGGGCGGTAGGGAAGCTATGGTTCGGGGATGCGCGGATTAGAGGACAAAGCGAGGGGATGTTGCTGACGGACGGCTCTCTCGGCTTGCCTTCTCGTCGGCTCCTCTTTACTAGGATCTACCGTCGTGGGACTAACAGTGAAACGCGCTATACTTGTATATACCTGCCAGTGATGTTTCACCCCGAGCGTTGTACGTGTAAATCGTAAGCCAAGTACCTACTTAATCCCTTCTGTATATCATAAGGATTTTAGTTTTTTTTTTTTTCTCTTGTGTCTTCCTAATTTGGATTTTGAATTTTAGCATCAATTAGACGTATATATCTGTATACATCAAAGGCTTTATTTGTTTGTTTTGATTGAGAATAAATAGTATACGTGAAATCGAGTTTACAGTGTTTATGTTTTTGGATGTTTGTTTACATGTAGCACGACAACTTATCAACTTTACCGATTGTTTATATATGACTTGGCGTTGATAAATATGTTTGATATAAGAAGAAATACCGACGAACAGCTTTAATTTGTATGGGGACAAATTAATACAAAGACCGTTAGGATAAGTTATTGGAAATATTTGTGAATTATTTTCCTTTTCTCATACAAACACAAGTTGAATCGTTGTTACCACAAAGTGATGTCGCTCCAAATGTCGATGAGGTCTATACTCCACAGATATTGTTTTATGTGAAAATAGAAAAATTCTTTTCGATGATACACCCGATCAATTGTTTACGAGGAAAAACACAAGGTATCTCGATAAATTGGCATTTACGAGCGACAACAAAATTTCAACGGCAACAATGAAAATGGCCATTCGATAATCGTTCAAAACCAGTTGGGCGTTATTATTGGTGAAAATTTGAAGAAACTTACGATCCATCGTCGGTGATGGAGGGCTGAGACCAGGCCCTGGGCATGGGCTCCTCCTTGAGTATTTGCCGCATGTCCTGGGGCGCGAAAACGAGGGGTCCCCGTGGATGGTGATGTGGTGGGGGCGGTGGTGGCGCGACGCTCGCCCCGTAGAGCTTCCTGCTCCAGTGGCCCTCCAACTCGACCGGACTCCCGGCTCCGGCCGCACCCCCCGCACTCGCCCCAGCTGCCACGGCTGCCCCAAGGCCCATCCATGGCGAGCCCCCAGCCCCCACGATCGTGGAGCTGGGCAGGAGATTGTTCCACTCGTCGGACCGCGTGGTGAGGCCGTAGGCGTGACGGTCGTCACGCGTCGTCGGGTCGATACCACCGCCGCTCTCCTCCTGACGATGGTCGGGCTGCTGCTCGGTCAAGCAGCCGCGGCCGTTAAGGGGCCGCTGAGCTGTCGCGAAGCCCCTGCACCATGCCAATTTGGCCAATTCCGATCACCACCAATTGTTTGTTACTATTGTTGATTGCACTTCTCGTGATGGACACCCAACTCACCGTATATTTATATATGTACAATTGTTATTTACGTATACCGGTTGACCAACAACAACAACAACATCAACAACAACATAACAGCAGTAACAACAACAACAACCACACAACAGTAACAAAAAAAAACACTTGTCAACAGCCGAGCGCGCACGTGCGACCGAAACTATAACCGCGCGACCCGATATAATCTCTTTTGGCCCTCGTGCTCCAAAGTGCCTCGCGCGGCAGTCGTATAGTCCGCAAATGCCGGAAAAACCACTCGATGGCCGTACCACTTTATCTACACCGAGAATTGGTGCAAGAAGGTAGCGCGGGGCGTCGTACTCGTCCCAATGGATATAAATATGTGATGTATATAGGGCGAGGGCCTGCGGTGCAACAGACACGCCAGGCAGTTTTCTGTATTTAGCAAGTCCCTAGCCGCGCGTTGCTTCCCGTTACAGAGACGCTTGTCGAATGTGTCACAGCCGGGCGAGCCGTCGTTCGGAGAGTCCCGAGGGTCGCTCCCGCTCTCTCTGCCCGTAGGCGGAGCTGCCTCCTCCGACGCTCGCTTGGGGCGCACTGCTTCGGCGCGAAGGCGGTCACCCGGGGCGCGGCCGGCCAATCGTACCCCGAGCGCTCGGCGAATCCCGTGCCCGGACCGTCCGCCCGGACGAATGACGACTCGGGCCTGTGCACCGGAGTGGGGGGCCATGCGCCTCTCTCTCTCTAGCTTTCGCAAAGTGCCTGCGCCAAAGACCGTGGCGCCACAGCGGGGGCGACGCTCGAGGCTTCGGCCGAGCATTGCGGCTTGCGCCGTCGGGTCGGGAGGACGATGCGACCTACACCTCTCGGCTTTGTTTATGTTTTTATTTTATTCATCGAGGACTACTTTCTACGGCCAGCTGTGCATTTTTCGCAGTCCACGTCAAATTAAGGTTCATCGATGCGATCGCATGTGACGACACTTATGTTCGACAGATCGATCGATTTCATAATGTATGAATGGAGAAAAAAGAGTGGGGTGAGAAAAATTTGACGGCGTGTTGACTGGGGGGTTTGGGTATACTCACTTTTTAGAAACGCTACGGAGTAGAGCGAAAATGGCTTTACAGTTTGAAAAACTGCGCACATGGAGAATCCTTTGTAGGCGGACTTGATTTTCTGAGGAAAACCGACCGGATTTCCGATGGATGCGTTAATGAATTCGTGCTAAAGTGGACACAGGAAGGACTTAGAGAAGCATTAGTCCGATTCGGCGTTTATGATGCGTAAAATACGAGGTATGTTCGAGCTAAGGTATCATGGAGACAGGTATATGGTACGGGGCGAACATCAAAGACAATGCAGTTTTAATTGCCGTAATTTCCTCTTTTCCTCTCTAATGGTCGTAGAAGTGTAAAATTGTTGCACAATAGGAAGTGTAGCAGTGACTCACGATTTCTGGAATTTCCGCTCAAAATTCGGTTTGTTCTTGATTTTCAAAGTTTCCAGTGAGCGGAGCAACAGTTTCGAAACAAAGCGTTGTTCAAAATTACTATGGAACTTTAGTGTCCAACGCCGAAAAAAAGATTCAGGCTTTTTATAATATGCCAAATAAATTTTGCATTGAAACATAACGTATAATGGTATATTATTGTATAAGTTACGAAAGCTACAAAAAATAAGCGAATTTTATCCACCAAAAAATTGTTTACAACAAGAAAATTTATTTGGTTCAGCTAAACATTAAACAGGTACAGGTTGTGCATCATTCGTTAGGCCGACTAAATTTTTTTTTTCCACGTTCATCAAACGTGACATTCCCAAAAATGTATCAATGTGGCGATTACCTCGAGCAACGGAGTCGCCGCCATCCTCTGTGATTTTCTTCCAACACTCGGCCATGTTTCTCTTTTCATCGCTCGAGTAGCGATGCTTACGTATTTTATGTTGTATACTTACTCGCGTGAGATTATACATTTTTCCTCACTCTGAAAGTTTTTACTTGTTTACCTGCATGATAGCTCTTCAAGTACACGTGACGTAACTCAAACTTACATTTTTGTGCATGTCGGTGTTTAAAAGATACTTTACTTTTTAAGGTATAACTTCTAGCTTCATCTTCATTATATCGACATAAAATGAAAAAAATTAATGTTTAGATCCAGAAATTTTAGTACAAATATACTTGTGGTGCAAAATCTGTAAACTTATACCAATGGCTTAGTTTGAAAAAGCGCTGGCACGGAATTGCCTTCCAGAAAGCACTTATTCAGATTCGGGTTGAAGAAAGTCGTAACGCAAATTTTTTTTTTTTTTTTTCATTTTGTAGTAGCAGTACTATTTGTTTTACTTTACTTTTGATCACCCCACCAATGACAATCATCAAAACGAGAAATTATTTGTGTATCGTATCACGAAAATAACTGCTCGTTCAGATTATGAAGTCTCTCGTGCATCCCTTCGATTCATTTGACGATTAAAAGCCTGTGACTTTTCAATGTTTATTTTTTTGTAAAATCAAGCAGACATCACTGCCACTTGCCGCTACAAAATTTAAGAAAAAAAGGTTCCTCCAAGTCAGCGCTTTTTTTAACTGCGGCTTTCATATACTCGAAAAAAAAAGGTGAACTTTACTGTACATACTAGATACATTATTACATTGACCAAAACTCATTTTCACAGAATCTATTTGAGAAACATATTATGGTCGAACAATATGAGCTGAAATTTCACATGGATAAATTTATTGCAATCGATAAATGAAATTCACTGAATTGCTTTCAACCGCCACTTCCAACCAAAGCTACATTTTGATGGCAGGCACGTTTTTGCCACGTAGTCACCTTATACAAATCATCGACATGCCTGTATACCTATAACTGTAGCTGTAAACGGTACGTGCTTAAGGCGCCATCAACAATGGCACACGAGCGTCCCATGATGGATTTAAAAACCATTGCTATAGCACCTATGGCGCATCCGACCATGTTCGAGGAACCTATGAAGCAGTAGAAATGTGTCATAGGTACGAGTAAAAACTGTTACTCCTTACCATGGGCCAGTTTGCGCGTACGTGTACAAAACAACAGGTTGCCCGCTCGATAGGAAAAACCTCGTTTTGCTACAACTGTGGTACAAATGTTTATGATTGCAGCTTACAGCGAGGCTTAAAGCCATGCTTAGGAAATGCGGTACATCTATTTCATCGTAATTGGAATATGTTCATGAAACAAGTCGCAGGGTAACGTTCGTTTTACTACACAACACCGCATCGACATCGGTATGGCTGATGAAGCCATATAATTGTACCGTACATTTTACACGCACACAATGTTTAGCAGAGCTAAGTGATGGATATGAGTTTTCGGAACGTCGTGTAAGAGGATCTTTTGCGCGGGTCGTTCGGGGACCGCTGCAGAGCCCCAACACGTGACAGCACTCGCTCTTGTTATGTACACGTGCTATAAATATATACCTGAGCTCTCGGCCGTGCTCCTCTTGAAGGGACCTCCTTTCATCCCTCGATACGGTACACGGCCGGCTGTATAACTGTACATGGGGTCGATCACCTGATGGGATATTAACGCTTTTGCTTTACGTGAATCAGATGGTTTCTTTTGTACGCGATTATTCATGCGGTTCGTACTTTTAAACAAAATTTTTCACTTTTTTTTTTCACCCTTGGTATCCAGGGGCCAAAAGGAATCGCTTGAGCCACCCTTGGTCACCGGTATCGGTATTGTTAAATACTCAGAGAGTTTTTTTTATCGTTTACGGGTGAATTGTGCACATTTCATACATTTGTCAATAATAAATCAGTAGGATGGCAATTACTCGAGCATTAGCTGTATAAGAACACGCAAGTCATGAGCTAAACCAAAAAACTACTATTAAGATGTGAAAAAAAAAAATTGTATGAAAGTGAATTCAATGCTTACACGATAATGTAAGTATTTAGATTCGTGGATTAGTTTGGTACTTCGTCGCTAAATGATTTTTCTTAATTTTTATGCTTTACGAAACTTGAAAATTTTACGCTCGTGATTTCAAGTTGTCAATAAACAATACCAAATAACACAGGAGTTTCGAAATATCGTTTGATATTTTTTTAAATTAATTCTTCATTCACTCCTGTGTTCAAGACTCCGATCTTCATTTTTTATCCAAGCGAGAAAACCGAATGTTTGCTCAAGCATAAAATATTGTGGCCTCTCGTGCAATTTCTACAAGCAAAAGAAGAACAATGTTGAGAAACTTTGTTACATCGTTGGATGGGAGTTGGGCTCTTGTCCCGATTGCTTCGACCCCCGTAAATTTATTCAAACAAATGCCATATAATTACTTTTTTCTAGTGCCTTTCGGTATGTATATATACACGCTACGATAGATTTATGTGCTCCCGTCGCCCCTTTTCCATCCTAATTTCTTGCCTTTCCAGATTTGACTCACTCCCAAGCGAAAGTTCGCAACAACTTTCAGGTGCACGGAATCACGTAGATATATCCCACGAAACACCGAAATAAAAGAGCAAGAGCACGTTGAACAGAGCACATTCATCGAATTCCCAAGACTAATATGAAACAAGTTATTAGGTGGTGTTACAAATACACCTATACGTTGGGTGACGTATCGTATACGTTATAACCACATGTTGTGACCAATGTGTGCACGGCCTGAATGCATTCTCGCATCGATAGAGCGAGTGACACTTGTCAGAAGCCTTACGGCTCGTTGAGTCGCATTCAGCTGTGCTCGGGTGACGGTGGAGCTTCCACACACGCGCCCGCTCAATTCGAGTTCCTTAAATATCCCAGTAATCTAATCCCAAGCGCGTGGAAGCTCCTAAATGTCCCAATGATGTCAAATGAACATCACCGCGCCGGCCAAATCCAATTATCCGTCTCCGTAGGTATATAACATACGCGTACACGTTGCACACCAGGAACAGAAAGGGAGGCTGCACTGGTGTGTAACACACGAGTATGTGACATAGGGTGTTCTCTACTCCTGTCGTTCAATGGTACCTACGTATACACGTATGAAAATATATATATATAGATACACTATTGTTGTACGAAGTAGGTGTAACGCGTACACGCGTGCGTCACTGCTCTAAGCCTATTACAGGGTTATGATAATATTTTTGGGTCTTTCTCTGTTTGCGTTCTGCCTCCTTTGTGGGTCCGTGTACGTATGTTTGAGGCTTTATGTGTATGTACACACTGTGGAGCTCTCGGGCTTAAAGAGCGCATTTGTTCTGCGGAGGCTGAAAGTGGCTCCGGAGTCGAGCGGTGAGAGCAAATTTAATTGCAGCGGTTGCCCAACTAACAGGTCGTTTGAGCGACCATGTGCCCTCCCAATTTGCCACGCGAATCCTAAAATTTTACTCACGTTTGTTACTCGCGAACGTGTACCTCTATATACTTATAAAAAAAAAAAAAGCATTCATGTCATTGCTACGTGCATTATCTGTCTCGTTTTTTGGGGGAAGAAGGGGGTTACACTTGTCAGTCTCGCCACCCCCTTTCCTATTCACCCCATCACC